ATATATATATATATATATATATTTCCGGATGAGCTAGCTCAGCAGGTATATGTGCAAACTGTTCAAGCCAGATTATCCAAGTTCTATTCCCAAAATCAGTGTGAAAAGCCAAATAAAATTTGAGCTAAACAAGGTTGTGCAGGGAAGCATCAGAAAAACAGTGAACTGCCTTGCCAAGAAGGAAGGCAAGAACACACTCCTGAATGTTGTCCTCCAAACTTTGTGTACACACACACACACATCCACACATGTGTGTGAATGCATTACATAGAATCATTAAAAATTAATGCTATAACATTTTTCAAATGAGTATTTTCTGAACTATGTATATTAATTTCATGAACTGAGCCTCTTTCACAATAAATTTAATAGTTTATTCTTCCTATAAAGAAAGAACATTTGTCTATATCATCACAATAGAATGAAGCAATTAACAGGGCCTATTCACCTAATCTTTTATGCTATTTAACCATTGTTTTCTGAGTTAAAAAAAAATTGTAAGCCAAATTCATTCAATTGCTGTCTTTTCTTTCCTTTCCTGTAATAACTACCAATCAGCAGTGCACTTCATTCTGGCCCCATTCTGCCCTTGTTCATCCTTGCATCAACTCACTTATTACTCCTCAGAGGCTGCAATATCTCACACTAGGTTGTTACAACTCCTGCTCCCACAATTAATGTGGCTAGGTGTTTCTCTTACTCAGCCTTACATCAGTGCAATAGACAGAAATACTGTGGGAGAAAGTCAAGGGGGAAAGGCAGAAGAACCATGGACAAAGTTGAATGCGTCGCACAGAGCACAATGTACAGAATGGAGTGCATTCGCCATTATGTGAAAATACACAGTATAAACTTGCCATTAGGATTTATTCACAGGATGCTCAGTCTGTACATATAGCGCCAGGGAATCAAATATCTTTCCATTTATGGCAAACTTCTCAATTTGGAAGGAACAGAGCGTGTGTGTAAAAAAGCTTGCAACATGAAATCAAAGCAGCCTTAGCAGGTATGAGAAATACCCATGACTGTTGTGGATATAAACATGTTTTTGTTTTGGTCCCAGGTGTGGGATGTGGGACTGATTCAGATGGTCCACAGCAGCGGATTATTTGCTTCCTGCAGGCTCCGAGAGGAGCTCTTTGCCAGCGTCAGATAGCTTAAATCTAAGTACTCTGGAGAGAGAATAAATGCCAGAGCCAAGAGAGTAAGGAACTCAGAGAAAGAACAGTGATGCTCCTACTTCCCCTTGCTGCTCCTGGCTGTTGTGAGACAGGAAGTTGAAGATCTCCTGACACAAGGATTGGAATGGCTCTAAGGAACCCAAGGAGCCTAACCAGCAGGAAACACCTAAGAGAACTGCACCCCCTCTCTCACTATCCCTTTCTCTCTCCTACCTAGTGTTGGGGTGTTGGAAGGGATTAGGGTGGCTTAGGGAGAAAAAGATAAAAGAAAACTAAATAAAAGAGTTTTTAAAAACTAACGCCATGACCTCATTAGTTATGTTTGTCTCAGTATTTAACGTTATTCGTCTTGTAAATTATGTCATAACATGGTGGTTATAAGCAAATGCAGAGCCAACGAGCTATGGCAGTAATCACTGCCACCACCACCATTGTCATCATCATTATTCTTGTTATTTCGATATGAGAAATTGAAGTCTAGCAAGTTGAATTTATTTTCCAAATTTCTATTTTAATAGACGGCATGAAAGTAAATAAAAATCTCCATGTTCTTTCTTCTTTACCAACTTACCCATTTCACTTCCATTAAACATCAAAAACATTTCTGCCCAAGTAAACCAAATAGTTTCCATAGTGATTTTAACCATGAATTACAGTATATTCGGCATTGGAATAGCAGTATAGACATACAAAAGCTTAAATTTTAGCAGTCAGCTACCAGGTCCACAATTTTAGATAAATTACCCTATAATGCCAGTGCTCCTATTCCCCTCGAATAGTAGCAATATTGATATTATATCTCAGGGTTGCTGCAAAGGCAGAGAAGGCATTGAAGATTTTTACTCCTAGACCTGTGTTACATACAAGAGATCATAAAATACAAACAGCATCAAACAGAGTAAAACAACAGTAACAAAAAATTCACTACTACTACTAATAATAATAAATAAAAAATCCTAACAAACCTTGCTAAAAAGACAATCTGGCTGTGGTCACAGAATTAAAAGTTTTCAACTTCTAAACTTTGCCTCTACTCATAGTGAGATTTACAGATGAAATAACATCATGAGAATTCTTTTCACAATATTCTAAGCTGAAGGTAGCTGATCTGACATACATGGATTGAACCCCTTTTTACAGAACATTATTGAAATGGTTATCTGGAAGAGCATGATGCTCACTTCAGTTTTCAGACATGGGCCAGAACACTCCTAGCCACCTCTGCAGACCAGCAGAAAAATGAAACCTCTCCCAATGAAGCATATTTGTGGGTTTTCCAAGGTTAATATTAATGAAAGTTATTTTAAAATATTAGAGAAAAGCATCAATGGGTTGAAAAAAAAAACCCTGCATTTTCATCCAACTTCATGATTCCCCAAGACTACAAAATGCAGGTTTTCATAACATATCCAAACCTCTAAACAGGTATTACAACAAAGAAATCATGCAGGTACCAAATAAGATAAATAAGAAGTTGAGAAACTGCTCCCTATTAAGCAATAGAAAAGTCTTTTTATAAAGACTACTCAAGCATGAACACGAGAAAGGTAGGATGGCAGTAATGCAATACCCTGGGAAAATGACAGAAATAAACACTGCATGCAGAGGTACACAGAAATTACCCAGTCTAGAATAACACATACGTTCAGGAAAGCTACAAAACTTTCCAATGTCACAGCACACTCTATGCAAAAAAAAAAAAAGCTTTTTTAAATAACAATGCAAAGATGGATATATATGAACAATAGACTCAGGTGAATTTGCCAGATAGAAAAGTAAGGATACACATTCTAACCCAAAGAGCATTATTAAAGAAATAGTACTATTTTGGAAAAAGCAGGCAACAGCATAAACATCACTGAATGATAAATTACCTAAATAAGACTGACAGCCTGTCATTAATATGTTTTTAAATGCACAGATATAAAAAAAATTAATTGGTAGGAAAGCAAATGATAATCTGACCCCAAATAAAGATTTGACATTATTGAATTAAAAATAAGACAGAGGTACTAAAAAAATGTTGAAGAAAACTTTGCTGTCTACAGAAAATGCATTCTAAACTCCATGAATGTGTGAGAGGATGGACAGGCAGCACCCAAGAATGTGAAGGCTACAGGACTGATTTTCAAACTTGAACCATTTGGAAGACCATGAGTCGATCTCAGTTCATGTAAGAGTAAAAGAAAAGACAGCATTAGCTGTGGTTTAACAATGTGTATCTTTTACAGAAAACAAATCAGAGGTGTCTGCAGAGAGTCCAGATGAAAGGATTCCTTGGACTTGCTACCCACTAAAGTGCATTTCCAACATAATGATGTCGCAGCCTCTTTTAAATGTGACAAATGTAATGCAGATTTATTGGGATTGATTTTTCTTAATGAGATTGCTTAAGGATGAAATTAAGGTATGTTCTGTGGTACACATCTGCTATCCCAGCACACAGAAGTTGACGGGAAAACATTGCACTCTATACAGTGAGCCAACTCATCAGCTCCTGGTCACATTTGTATGAAAGCGTGTTTCTCCTCTGTCCTTACTTATCTACACATTAATACAGCTTCTCAAATGCCTTGAAAGACGACGATAACTTTACCAACAGTTAACACGTGTTACCTCTGGTAAGAGTTTTACTTGGGAGAAAAATTTTCTCATGTTTTGCCTATATTTTCACAGTTTGAATAATTAAAATAAACAGTTGTGACAGTAAAGGAATAACAGGAATCATTACTGAAGTGGTGGATGAAAGACTTTTCAGAGCCAGAGGTGGCAGATGATTTCTGGACACCACAGTGTATCCTACATATGAACTGATAGCAGTTGTAGCAGTGTTCAAAGACCTTGGCAAACTCAAGCCAGCATATATCTCAGCAAGGACATGAAGGTGAGAATGGAGTTCAATGCCTGGATGAGGTGTTATTGGTAGCTGGTATCTGCTTGCAGATGTACAGTTACTTTTCATTAACGGTGTAGTCCCTGATTGGTCTAACATGCTCAAAAGTATTGTCACACATCCAAAGGATATAGGTAACATTAAGTAGACTAAATAAGATTTTACCAAAAATAAATAAATAAATAAAGACATGAAGTAGAGTGGGTGTGGAATAGGAATTAAATATGGAAGGAGTCAGGGGATGAGTTGAATTTGATCACAATTCAATGTATGAAATTCTCAAATAAATAAAAATATTAAAAAGTAGTAATTTCTTTTTCTTTTAAAAATGAAGACTAGATATTGTTTAAAGATTTACTGAGATGGTAACCAGTTTTTAGATAGTAAGGATATTAAAAAAATCTTTCTGTTCTTTTAGGTAGAGAATTTTTCTTAATTTTTCCCTGCTATCACTTTTTGCACAAAGAATATTATCCTATAAAATCATGTCATAAATATTTCTGTGTGAAGAGACTAAAAATTTTTTTAATCTATTTACATGTTTTACTTTCACTTTGAAAAAACTTCTGTTCAAACTTGAGAAATGCTAATTGAGGATTATATTTACCTCATTTTTTGACATGGGTTATGAA